CTCTGTCTTGCACGACGCCAGCCCAACCCTGCTCCCAAATGCTGTCTCTTGCCCTCTTCAACAACTGGTTGTGCACGGGCTGACGCAAGCCCACCCCCCCCCCAACACGTCCTGGCATCCGCAGCGAACAGGATTCTACCCTGGTAAGAAGTTTCTGGACCCTGAGAAGAAGAGGGATTTAGAGAGATTCCAGAATTTGTAAGCCGCTAGCTCAGAAAAGATTCAGAAGTCACTGAGGTCAGAAAAACCCTGTTCCCATTCAGATTTTTTACTCAGTTGTCCTGCTGGTCATCTTTTGTGAAGGTTTTGCTTCGGGGAAACGATGACTTAGCCATGATCTCACAACTAACTGTGAGATCTCACCTGCTGAGTGAGAGAGCTTAGTGCTAATTGCATTAACGTAGTTGTCGTTTCTGTGCACCTGACATGCCAAGAGAGACACACAGCGGGTGGCGTTGGCAAATGATAGGTTCTCGACGTGAAAACCCACCCCGAACACAACGGAGACCACGAACTGCGTCATAGCACATCCTTATGGCCTGTTGATGTCTCAATCGTCTAAACTAGGGGTTCTCACTTTTATAGTATTTAACCAAGTTCACTCAAATTATGGGCAGTTCATATGTATCTCGCCAAGAAAAACTTCTGCAGAATCCAGTTCCACAACTTTGGGGTCCCTTAAAGTTTTGATCACGTGTAAATGATGCCAAATCAATCTGGGACTTCAAAGGATTCGATGCTCCCCCAGACGAATACATGAGCCTATTAAAGCAATCTAGGACTATTCCACCAGGCCCACCAATCTAAGCGCTAATAACTTTAGGAGGTGGGGGAGGCTTTTTGAAGGACAGCTCCTGCAAGACGAGGATTTCTTCAAGTTATATTAGGACTTTCCCCTTTGATTTGGTTCAGTCAGCCCGTAGCTCTTCCTCTCTCTTACGCCTAAGGTACGACAATTACATTCGGATGGGGTTAGCCCCTTGCACAAGGAGCCCTCTGGACCGTCCCGTCAGGTATTGCATGAGCTCTCCCTGAAACAATCCCAAATCCAAGCTGAGCGAGATGATAGCCGTCTGTGGAGCTTTTCTCTGTATTAAAGCGCTCCTGGATCCCAGCATTCCAACCCTGTCCACAGCTGCGATGAACTGCCCACATGGGGCGGTTGCCTTACCATTTTGATCTATAGCTGAAGGTGAAGTTTATCTTCAGGAAAATTCTAAGAGAAGGTGATTTATGCAGAATCTTCTCCTGCATCAAGTTCCCAAGAGACTGTACTCCAAGAAACTACTCTTATCATTGATGAGGAGCCCCTGTGCTATACAAGAAAAGTAACAAGGCCTGACTTTTCCATAAAGCATTTACCATATTGCTAATCAAAATTTGGGACCAGAAAAGCGATCAGTGATTGCATGCTTGCGCCAGCATTTTTGGACTTCCATGCTTCTCAAAAAAAACGGAGGCTAGGCAAAACTAAAGCTAAACCATTTGGGCACGAAGTCAAATGACTGCTCTGAGCGCAACTCTTAAGCAAAAACATTCGTTCATCATTACGCAATCAAAACAGCCGAGCTGGATTTCGTTTGAAATCTTTACCACGTTCCAGACCGCATGACACACATGGTGTGTCATACATTTGTCTCTATGCGATGTTTTACTCGATCGATTTGGTTTTTCTTTCATGTTTTAATTTCTCAAAGCATGATTAGGTTTCGGAAGATACATACCTCAGGAGCGATTGAAAAGAGAGAGAGAGAGAGAACTACTGGTGAATTATTGACGAAATTTATGAAGAGATGTACGCCTTACGGCGGTCAGCATTGTGATTAAACTACTTTAATCAAGGTAGGACCTATCAAGGAAAAGAATGACGAAAAATATTTGTGGTTTGAAGCTGCAATAGTGCAGGATGTGCATGAAACCCGTTCCAGATGCACAAATTCTGTAATGAGGCGGAAGCCGAAAATTATATAGACAGGGACGGCACGGATTGATCCGTTAGCACGGAGGCAGTAATGAGATTTAAAACGATGACCAGAAGCTGCAACTGACCTCTGCCCGTCGAAAATGGACTGGAGAGTGACCACTGCTCTTTAGGGACCGACAGGGATTCTCACGCTCTTCCCTTTGGTAAGAGCAGTTCAAACCCCTACACAGTAACCCTTTTAACCCTATAGGGTACATACAGGGTTCTAAAGGACTCTGAAAATTGCACTGCACACAGAACGACTCGGCCTACATATTCCTGCAAGTCCAGTAGGGAGGGGTGAGGGCATTTGAAAGAACCCTGGTACAAAACTCGGACCATTTTGGGATGAGGACGCTGTAGAAGAAAAGGGTCTCGCATCACAAAATTTAAGTTTTATACACTGAGCCCTCTTCATGCTCCTTCGGCGGACTTACCCCGCCCTCGTTAGTCGTACTGAGGAGAAAAATCCCAAAAAGACCCACTTTTCTGCCGTCAAAAGTCCAAAGGTAGGGTCGATGAAGGTGTATGCGTGGGTGATTGGTGCCACCCGGTCTGAGCGAGTTTCAAGGCGTTTTTTCTAGCGAAGCGCTAAGTTGGCCTCGTTAGTGGTGGGAGAGCGCGAGTTAACAACGTTCATAATGGTAGGCGGCAGCTCTTTGCGGAACATCACACCTGGAATCACGCAATGCCACACCACACAATTGCATACCGTATGTAGTAATTACGCAGCAGTACCCAAAGAATTGCACATCTGAACCTTGAAAATCGATTCGGGTGAAATCAGCTTCTCGTCGGGTGGAACCCCTACTCAAATCCTGACCTATTCGGCTCAGCCCTCCCAAACCATCTCAAGATCCCTTGACGCAGTGAGGTAGTCCGTCGCCGATTCGCTCTCGGATTACGGTAGCGCTCGCCTGCGGCCCGATGGGCGTGGCCGCGATGGCCAGACATGCTCGGTATGAACAGTGCGGATCAGACGTCAGCGACCACGACAGCGATTCCTCCTGCTCCAACGACAATGCTACCTCTTTCGGTAGGTCCTGCTCCACTTGCCGAAGACAACCGGCCAGGTCTCTCACTTACCCTCACGTCCAGACGTTTTATTGGAATTCGAGGATATGATTATGTAGCAAATAACAGGATTGCGGGCGACGGCCTAATCATACATTCTTCCCTTTCGTCACCCTTTATTATCGCGATAGTATATAAGATGATTCTGTGCGGTTCAGCGGTCTCACACAACCCACTGCTGGGGAACGGTCAACACTTCCATTAACTCTAGTCCCCCCTCTACCTTACAATAACATTTTACTCTGTTTTATTGTCATCATCTGTGAGATTTTTTGATATTTCAGAATGATCAGGGTCCACTTGGAAAGTTGATGGAACAATGCAGTCGCCTCAACGCCAACGTTATTCTTGACAAGCTCGAGGTTCGCAGACGTCGTTGGCAATTTTTTTGTTCTTTTTATCCCTTTTCGAGGAGGCATTGAGCCAAAGTCCCTCATGCGATGGCACTGGAGACAAGGCACATCCTGTCGTTATGAAAATTTTGGGAGAATACGACCCCTTCCCCCGTCCTACCTACCATCTCACCAACCATCTTCCTGAGTTTTTCCAATTGCCTATTCTCCGAATCTTTTTTTATTTCAAAGATTCCCCAATTCTTCCTCCTTCGAGCAAGCAGGGGGAGGAGGAGGGAGGTGGAAAAACCGAGAACAGTCAACAGCCAGAAACATTTTCGTCAAAGCTTCCCTTTGATGTGGGGAAT